ATATTTGGTAGCTAGATGGTAAGTGGGTTGGTAGATAAATGGATAGATGGGTGAGTGGTGGCTGGATGAACAGATGGGAATGGATGGGTGGTAAGGGGTGGATGTATAGATTGGTGGATGAATGGATAAGATAGATGGATGGGTGAACGGATGAATGAGTGAGTGGATGGGTGAATAGGTGGATGGGTGTGTGCATATATATGTATTATGTATGGATAGGTGTATGATTGGATGCTTGGATAGATGGATGCATGAGTAGGTGAATAGATAGATGGGTGGATGAATGTAGGTATGTGTGGTGGATGGATGAACAAATGATAGTAGGGCCAATATCAATCACTCTGTGTATGTGTATGTATGCATGTATGTATGTATGTGTATGTATGTATGTATATGTGTATGTATGTGGGGGGTAGGTGGATGGGAGGATGGGTGGATGGTTTGATGGGTGGATGGGTAGATGGGCAGATGGGTGGGTAGATGGATAGGTGATTAAATGGATGGATGGATTGATGAATGATAGATGGGCAGATGGTTAGGTGACTGGGTAGGTGGATGAGTGGATGGATGGGTGAATGGATTGATGGATGGGGTAGATGGATGGATGGGTGGATAGACGGGTGAATGGATGGATGGATGGGGTAGGTGGATGGCTGAGTGGATAGATGGGGTAGGCGGATGGATGAGTGGATAGATGGGTGGGTGATAAGCAACAAGACCAAAAGCAACTAACTTGGGGGAGAAAAGGGTTTAACTACCTCTTATAGGTTGCAGTCCATCATCAAGACAATTCAGAGCAGGAACTCAAGACAGAAACCTGGAGGCAGGAACTGAAGCAAAGACCGTGGAGGACCTCTGCTTACTGGCTTGCTTCCCCTGACTTGCTCAGCTCCCTTCCTTTTAAAGCCCAGGTCTAATTGCCTAGGGATAGCACTACCCAGTGGCTGGGCCTTCCTACATCAAATTGTAATGAAGAATAGGCCCCACAGACACGGACATGGCCAATCTGATGGAGAAAATTCACCAACTGAGGCTCCCTAGTGTTTCCAGTATATGTCAAATTGACAAAAACTTACCAGCACAAAGGGACAGATGCACATATGGACAGATGAATGGATGGATAGATGCAGAAATGGATGGACAGGTAGCCAGGTGAATGGGCTGGTGATGGATGGATGCATGCATGAGTGGATGGATATATGATGGGTGGGCAGATAGATGGATGGATGTTTGGGTAGGTGAATAGATGGATGAGTGGATGGATGGGTGGGTAGGTGAATAGATGGATGAGTGGATGGATGGGTGGGTAGGTGAATAGATGGATGAGTGGATGGATGGATGAGTGGGTAGGTGAATAGATGGATGAGTGGATGGATGGATGAGTGGGTAGGTGAATAGATGGATGAGTGGATGGATGGGTGGGTGGGTAGGTGAATAGATGGATGAGTGGATGGATGGATGAGTGGGTAGGTGAATAGATGGATGAGTGGATGGATGGATGAGTGGGTAGGTGAATAGATGGATGAGTGGATGGATGGGTGGGTGGGTAGGTGAATAGATGGATGAGTGGATGGATGAGTGGGTAGGTGAATAGATGGATGAGTGGATGGATGGGTGGGTAGGTGAATAGATGGATGAGTGGATGGATGGATGGGTGGGTAGGTGAATAGATGGATGAGTGGATGGATGGATGAGTGGGTAGGTGAATAGATGGATGAGTGGATGGATGGGTGGGTGGGTAGGTGAATAGATGGATGAGTGGATGGATGGGTGGGTGGGTAGGTGAATAGATGGATGAGTGGATGGATGGGTGGGTGGGTAGGTGAATAGATGGATGAGTGGATGGATGGGTGGGTGGGTAGGTGAATAGATGGATGAGTGGATGGATGGGTGGGTGGGTAGGTGAATAGATGGATGAGTGGATGGATGGATGAGTGGGTAGGTGAATAGATGGATGAGTGGATGGATGGGTGGGTGGGTAGGTGAATAGATGGATGAGTGGATGGATGGATGGGTGGGTAGGTGAATAGATGGATGAGTGGATGGATGGATGGGTGGATGCATGGATGGGTAAGTGGATGGATGAATAGACAAATAACAGATAGTAGGGCCAATATCAATCACTCTGTCCTCTTGTCCACAAATCATGCCACTCTCAAGTGTCTGCTTTCTGAAGTAGCAGGGAACTCTCCTTTCAAGGCAACCCTCTCCTCTCTGGAAACATTCTTTCTTCTTTTGAACTCAAATCACTCTGGCCACATGTCCTTCCTGGCTGTCTTGCTAGGACAGGAACAGGGATGAGGAGACAGGCACAGCATGAGCTAGCTTCCTTGGCAATCTGGTCCCTCTGGTTGACCTACTCAGCAGCTGGCCAGAGGGAGGTCCAGCATACCTGGTCTCTGTCCATCTGAATTCTGTCAGGTGTTATGTATTCTATCTCCATCCTATGGGGAAGTCTCTGCTATGCATCCCGGCTCCTCCAGTCCCTTCTGGGAGATGCTGAGGTGAGACTGCTCTGACAGGCCAGTCTCATCTTGTAGCAACTGCGGCCAACTTACTGAGGGGCAGCAGAACTGAGCTGTGGACCCCTGTGACAACCCACCTGCTGCCTTCCCTTGGTGATACATCCATTTGACCCTAACCCACTCTTGGTACTCCATGGTCCCCAGGTTTCCCATGTTCTGGTTTCCTGACTCGGCTAGAGGCCACTCCAACTGGGATGTGCCCATTCTCCCAGCATGGGGATGGAGGACAGCTGAGGGTTGGCCAGCTGTGCTGAGATGTGCCTATTCTCCCAGAATGGGAATGGAGGAGGCAAATGCTGGCCTGCTATGTGTGGGGAGCCGGCTCTGCCAGGCCCTGGCTCTGAGGCCTGCCCCAGTGCTGCTGGCCAGGTCTTGGTTTTCCTATCCTGCTCCTGGGTCCAACAGCACTGCCTGTCAGTGGCTGTGACTGAGCCTGGAAGCCACCAGATGTAAGCTGCTGGCCCAGCGCTGGCTCTGGGCAACTCCTTACCAGCAAGGCCCCCTCCCTCCCTCCTGGAGCCACTAGCCTCCAGTGTTCTCCAGTGAGTCACAGTGACTAAGCCCAACCAGAAGAACAATAGGCTGGGCTGTTTGTCCCTGGGTCTGAGCCAGAAGACAGGGCAGGGGGCTGGCTGGTAAGGGCACCCACCCCGGTGGTAGGTGCCCACGGCCACTTAGCAGACCATGATGTCTTGTGCCAAGGAAGGATGCTCTTAGTAGCTTCTGAGCCTGCAGTGCCTTCCCTGCTCTGAGTACAGCCTGGGGTGCTGGGGAGGGCAATAGCCTCCAGACCTGGGGACCAGGAAGGATTCCTGGGGTGCCCAGCCTTCCCTGGAGGTGATGCAGGAACAGGGAACTGGGACTAAAAAGAGGGGAAATGGAGACCCAGGGGGAGGGAGAAAAGGGAGGAGGGAGAGGAAGGAGGGAGGGGAAGGGATGGGGAGGGCAGGAAACTGAGATGGGGATGGAGACACCAGAGGGGAAGAAGAGAGGGAGGCAGGAGAGCCAGGGGGTCAGGGGCAGCTGAGGCCTAGATCAGGGAAGAGAGAGGCAGAGATCAGGGAGAACTGGACTCAGAGAGGGCTCAGCAGGCAGGCAGAGATGGGCAAGGGGCTCTGAGGATGGGGAGGCGGCCCGTGGGCCCAGGACCCAGAGTGAAACCTTGGGCAGAAGCTGCCAAGGTGGCCTGAGGGGGGCATGCTGCCCTGCTGCCCGGGAGCGGGCGTGGAGGTCCAGCCAGGCCCCCACGCTGCAGGGCTGGGAGGGTTTCTCTCTGACATTTTTACTAGTCTCGGAAGGAGGAGGAGGTGGTGGAGGTGGAGGAGACCGAGGGGGCGGAGAAGGGGGCTGGGGGACAAAAGGGAAGCGGCTGCTAGGCGTCCTGAGGAGGGAGAGAGGAGAGAGACCCACAGAGACAGGGTCCAGGGACAGTGGAAGAGCCTGGGGGCTGCCAGCTGGGAGTCAGACTCAGACCCCTGCCCCCAGGGGCTGGAGGGACTGAAGACAGACAGATGCCAGGTCACAGAGACAGACAGACAGAGGAGACAAAGGAGGGGGCTTCAGAGCCAGAGAGACCAGACAACTAGACGGAGGAGGGGGGCAGGGACAAGAGAGGGACAGGGACACAAAGAGAGGAATAGAGAGAAGAAAAGGGAGAGGAGACGGGAGAGGAGAGCGGAGAGCAAAGGTTCTGGGCCATAGCACCAGGAGCCTTTGAAGCCTCAGGCTGTGTCCCCAGGGCCAGGGTCAGGCCAGGTCGCCAGCGAGACGGCAGGCAGGCCCGCAGCATGAATGGCCCCGCACTCCCGAGGAGAAATTCTAGCAAACGGGGCCTGGAGAAGCTGTTGAGGTAGGTCCCTCCCGGCCCAGGCACGGTGCCCTCAGTGCCCTGCCGACAGTGGCACCCCCTTGGGCCCAGGCTGGCGGATGTGTGGCCCAGAGGCGGTGCCAGGCCACCCGTGCATGCACGTGCACAGGAAGATGCTAAAGCCCAGCACGAAGCCTTCTTCCTGGTCAGCTGGGTTGCCATATTCCCTTTCTCCTCCTCCCACCTCTCCTCCTGTATCCCCAGGACCCACTGAGAGTGCATTCTTGGAGTAAATGCCAAGCCCCGCCCCCAACATGTTGTCTTGCGGCCCCTGGGGACCATCCAGTCACCCCTGAATTTACAGATGAGACTGGACTGGCCACCACAGGCCCCAGCACCCCTTTGCGTTCCAGCTATGAGTGGGAGGCATCGGAGCCTCAGGAAATCCTGGTTCTCTGGCCACTGGGCCGCTGGCTTTTGAGGGGCTCATTCATTCACTGGCTTCTTCCAGGGTAAAATGTGTGAGGAAAAGGGCCCAGGTCCTTGAACCTCAACCACGCCCTGTGATGATGTGCTCATCGGCTTCTTTGAGACACTAGCCAGGCCCTTTCCCTCCCTCGACCTTCCAACTTCAAGGTCTGTCAAAATGCCACCTCCTCCAGGAAGCCTGCCACGACCTTCCTGGATAGGAGGGCTCTGCTCTGCTGGCCTGATGGCCTGTTCTCTGGCTTCCATGGCTTCTTAGATGTCAAGCTCCTAGGGTGGGCCTGGCATTGTTTTGCATTTCTGTGTGTTTGGTCCCAGCTCTCTGTGGCGAGACAGCTTGAATGGGGCAGATGCTGAGACGTCTCCAAGCCCCAGCTCCTGTCGTGGTCCCAGCCAGTTGTCAGGGTCAGGTCTAGCACCAGGGTCTGAGTTGACCTGGCAGCCTCGCTCCACCCCAGACTGCAGCCAGTACCACATCCGTGCCCTTTCAGGCTCAGCCCAGCCTGCCCAGGGCCCCCATGCAGAGCCGCCTGACTCAGGCCAGATGTCTCTCCTGCCCGAGCTGGAAAGTATCCTCCGTTGCCCCTATCCTCCAGTTCCCTATGTCCTGGAAATTTAGGAGTGCCTTTGATCAATCTTTGCAGCTCACAAGTGTCACTTGACAAATGGGGAAACTGAGGCCCAAGAACAAGGATCATAGCACCCTGAGGAGGGGGGGGTGTCAGGAAGAGCCCTGAGACCTAGCTCTGTGTGCACACACAGGAATGCCTGCCTACAGCCATCTGGGCAGCTGTGGCCACACCCAGCTCCAGGATGATGCCCTGCTAACCAGGAGTTGGGGCTGTGGGCCATGGGGGTTGTATAGAAACAGCACAGCCTTGGACAGGGGTCAGTCAGGCTTGGCACTATCCAAGGTCCTGGGCAGGAGACAGGTAGGAGGGGTCCCTGAAACTAAGGCCTGTGGGTAGTAGCCAGTGGGCAGGCAGGAGGGCAGGTCTCCTAGAGGTCTCTGGGAACTCTGCCAAAGTGGAACGGAAGTGTGGGCATAGGGAAGAGTCCCTTGTAGAGGGTGACGGAGAGTCATTTGTCCAATGTGCTGAGCAGGTCCACAGTGGACAGCATGGGGCATACATCTGCTCACCTGCACACTCAGTGGCCTGTCCCTGTGACACAACTGGGGCTGTGCACACCCCACATGCACCCATACACACACATGCATGTGTAGACATGTGCACATGGTAATTCAGTTCCGTGACACCCCACCCTCCCCCTCACCCCCACCGTCCACTGTAGACATGCTGTCCACTTTGCCCAGTCCTGGCACATCAACCCCCACCTTGTCCCTGTTGGAAAGTAAACTCAAGAGCACCCCGTCGGCAGGCAGTGAACCTGCCTCTCCCAAATCCATAGCCTTTGCCTTAGATCTTTCCCCAGGGACCCTGGCTCTCTGGACACACTTGGGAACAGGGTCCTACCTGTTTCTTCTGTGACAAGCTTTGGAGGGGGTGCTTTATACTAGCAGAGGCTAGGGTACAAGTTGAATCCAGTTTATATTCACGAAAAAGAATGCAATGGACCAGTGGGAAAATAGGTCCCATGCCCCCAGCCCAACTCTCTTCATCTGAGTGTGGATAGGAGCTGAGGGATTAGCATGTGACCAGCCAGACCTCGGGATGACCCCCATCCCCCTGTGCCAGGGACCTGGGTTCCCCATTCCTAAACCCAGGGTCCTCTCAGGCTCACCACAGGTCAGGACAGGGTTAAGGATGGTCACCTGGACTTTCAGCCACTCTCCTGGTCCTGTAGCCCTCAGGGGCCTGGGTTTAAGATTCTGGGCTGATCAGAAGTACCTTGGGGTTGGTGCTGGGCTAAGAGGCTGATCCAGGGGTCACCTTGGTGGGCATCCCCAGCCAAGGCTCCTTTGGGTGGTGTAAGGCACCCATCGGCCAGCAGATACCATGTCAACCCTGCCTATGGTTTCCCTGGGGTCTAAGGCCCTTCAGACATGCCCTCACCCCAACATGTGGCCCATGGGGCTTCTGGGGATCCTAGTGTGACAGTTAGGGTAGCAGATGGGGCTGGCACTCTGCTGGGTGGCCCAGTGGGGGGAAGGGAAGCCAGGCCTCCAACCACAGTGTCCAGGGAGGCGTGGCTATACAGGCCCATTGGAGGCCGAGATCCCGAGGGTGGGGTGGCCCCACCCTGGCAGGCCGGGTGGCCGGTGGGCGGCACCCCCACGGGCCGGGTGGTCTGTCTGCCAGAGTCGTCCTGCCTGGAGCCTAGCCGAGCCAGCAGCAGGGGGTACAGGGACCGAGTGGCCCAGCCCCCTGGGCAGGGTGTCAGGGCCAGAGCCCAGAGGACTGAGCTTCCGGTTCCAATCCCAGCCGGTGCGTCAGAGTTGGGTAGATCAGGCGGCAAGCAGCGACCAGGGCGCCAAGGCACCCAGGGACTCACCCACCCCATGCTGCTGCTGGCCTGGAGGGGACATCCTGGGGCTCTTGGGACCCTTGGGATAGCTGGAGGGGCACAGCCCCCAGGGACACCGCTGTAGGCTCAAAGCGGCTTCCCAAAGGACAGTGCCAGGATGGACCACCAAGGTCTCCAGAGGACAGGTGGGCACAGGGGCTATAGGAGGGCACAGGGCTGTAGGCGGGCAGGGGCTTTTTCTGGACAAGTGGCTACAGGTGGGCGGAGGGCCTAAGATGGGCACAGGAGCATCTTGTGGGCAAGTGGCTACAGGTGGGCACAAGGCTGCAGGTGGGACCTGGGAGCAGGAACCCCTGGGCAGAGAAAGGGAAGAAGGCTTTCAGGGCCTCATGCCAAGTGGGACCAGACCTGGCCCTCGGCCCACAGGACTGGCTGTGCAGTCTTCTGTCCTGGGGGGCAGGGGGGCAGGAATGTAGCTATGAGGGTCGGCTGCTATCCACCCGGGGCAGAGGACATGCTGAGGCCAACTGGGATTAGGACTCAGAGAGCTGGAGGGCCTGGCACAGGGTTGGTGGTGCCAGGGGGAGTCACGCACAAGCTGCCCCAGAGGACTGTGAGGGTCTCTCCGTGGGAATGTGTCATACCAGGTAAGAAATGAGAAGGGGGGGAGAGAGAAAGGGGGGACATGGGTAGGAGGCTCTTATGTCAGCCAGCATGGGGGGGGACTCCTCTGTTGTCCCCACTTAGCATATAGGAACAGAAGTTCGGAGAAACTGAGCAAGACGGGTGCTAGGTGCTAGGTGGTAGAAAGGGAGATAAAGGGGTTGTGGGAAGAGGCATGCAGGCCAACAAGAAAGGGCTAATGAATGGAAGGGAGGAAGAGAGGAAACAGAAGGGAAAGGTACCAGTGACCCTCTGGACCAGGACCCCCTGCCCTGGGTCCTGCCCTTGGACCCCCTGTAGCTGCCTGATCTCTATACATTTTGTATCCCAGGGGCTGAGGGATCATCCTGTCATGCACTGACAGTACAGTGTCCCCAAGTCCAGGACACAGCCTCTCTAAGCCTCAGCGTGCAGGTGTATGGTGGGGACACTGTTCATTTCAGCCCTATTTGGGCCAGGACCTGGGGTCTGAGAATCAGGGCAGGTCCCACTGACCTCAGCTAGTGTAACATGCACAGGGGTATGGGAGCCTCCCACAGCCTGTGGAGGCTGGTTCATTCCTACTTAGTGCAGCTTGAAACAATAAGGCTCGGGTACAGTCAGGTGCGAGCATAGTCCTGAGGAACTGTGAGGCTGGAGGTTGAAGTCGGCCAGCCTGGGCTGGATCCCCTCCTCTCCAGCACCTCAGGAATGATAGGTCTTTGAGGCTTTGGGTAGCACCTAGAGCTCACATGTTGCCAAAGTGCCAAGCAGGGCGTTAGGGTGGCAGGAAAATAGAGGCAGTTGTGGGTTCAGGGTCAGGTGCAGGACGGTGGGGTCGGAGAGTGTTGGGCAGACTTGGCTGCATGCTGTCACCGCTGTATGTCCATCCAGGTGGGCAGCCGAGTTGAGCAATCTGTAAACCAGTGAGCCAGTGGGGAATGGAGGCGTTTGGGCAGCATCCATGAGCAGAGCAATAAGTGAGGCCTTCGGGGTGAGGTGGATCTGGGCATAGCCGGCCAGGGAGGGAAGAGGAGGGGATGGCAGAGTCTCAAGCCGATGCCAGGCGCCGTCGCGTGTCAGGGAGTGTGCCAGAACCTTGCCTCGTGAGCCCCGTGAGTGCTCTGCCAGGGCCGCCTGCCACTCTGAGCCTGGTCCCTGCTGGGAGCTCAGAGCCGAGCTGGTCAGCATGAAGACATCTCTGAGGCCACAGAGCCTGGGCACCAGGAAGGGCTCATGGCTGCTGTGCACTTGGCGCCGGCCCCTCTGGCATTCTGGTCAGTAGCAGGGAGGACGAGATGTGCAGAGCCAGTGGAGGGAGAAAGAGTGAGCTCAGGCCAGCACAAGTCGCAGCATACCACCATGTGACAGACAGGAGGTCTAGGCCCTGATGTCCAACCCCAGGCCCTCAGAGCCAGGCCGGACTGAGCAGACCTGGCCAGAGGTGTGGAGTTAGGAGTCCTGAATGAGGAGTCTGCCAGCAATGG